CTAGATGATCTCTTTGTGATCAACCGCCTAAAAACTGCTTGATCGTTCTATAACTGTCCACTTTCCTCGTAATGGCCAACTTGTCATGGAACTGCCTTTTCTAACTGCTGCCATTACTCTTTGTATTCAACCGTTTTCAATTGAATTCCTTAAATCGTGGAACGTGATAGGGCTGCTTAATAACTGCTTTGATAACTATGCTTCTTGATAATCATAACACTTCATGTTTGCTAAGGCCTTAGGCGACTTGAAGGTTTGGACGAGAATAGAGTAGCAGCTCTGGGCGACTGCATGGCATTCCATTCGCTCAGATCTTGGGCGACTTACAAGTTTGGGCGATGGTGTTACCGCATTCATGGGCCTCCCTATTTGGACCTTCATCTTGAATTGTCTGATTGGGTTTCGTTCTTTGGACTATCTGATTTGGGGATCTCCAATTGGGCTTCATTCTTTGAACCGTTCGATTTGGGCTGAATTTTTATGTGTCAACAATTATAAATAAACCACAATTTGTACAAAGAGTTTGAAGAAACGGCAAGTTCAACAAAAAACTTTGTAATAGGAAATCAACTGTACCGAAGAGGAGATGGGATCCATGGTAGGTCACACAGGTGAAGCAGAATGAGGACTGTGGAGAACGTTCAGGTGTAGCCTTTTTTGGCGGGCGTCACAATTGCGCTGGATTAAAGTTTAGTGGGTAGTTGTGAATTGGAAATCCCACTGTCGGCTGCAAGATCGGCCAAATGGCGTGCCTATAGGTTTTGGGTGGTGGGGGAAAAGCTAATGCCTTGGAGTTTCGCTGCATGCTGTGACGGTTCCTTTCTTACGATCAGGCAGAGGGTAATCAACGGGAACTTCGCTTTTGCTGCCAAAGAAGGAGGCTATCCATGTTTAGGTATTGCTCATTCAGTGGTGAAAAGTTTGTGTCCCAATGATTCAAGACCGAAATCTTTGCTGCTATGAGGGAGACAGTCGATTATGGCCGAGTACCTATGGCGATTCCAGTCAACGTCAATTTCTAGTGTTGGGACGGTTGCATTCGTGTTGAAGAAGATTACAGTGGTAGGTGAGTTGGTGTGATCAATTTGCTAATCAATTGAAGGGCAAAAATGAGAAAAAGGCCGTGACATGAATCTGTGGAAGGTTTGAATACTAGCCAGGACTATGAATTTTTCAATGCTAAAAGACAAAGCAACGATTTGAATTTTGCTTTTAATCTGTTCTAAAGCGACACCAAACAAGCGCTATATAAGCTCTTAAATCTTCATTTCATACTATAATTTGTATATAATATTAAATAATTTATATATTAATTAAAATTTTAAAATAAGAAAATATATTTTTACATTTTTTTATGCCTAGACTTCATCTAGAATCACATTGCCCAAAACCTTGACTCCTCGCCACGCATTGTTCTTTTTTAGAACACTATGTAAATGGGGATTGACTTTCTTATTTTTTATTTTTTATGTTTTGAATTTGATAAAATTCTTTATTTTGTCGTTTATTTATTTTAGTGAAAAATAACAAGCCATAAAATTATTTAACCGACTCAATTATTTATAACAAATTGGATTAGGTTGACCTATATCCATATTTGATCCATTTAATTAACTAATTATGTTATTCGGATCTTGATTGGGTTATTAGACTAAAACTATAAATCCATCTCCCATTAATTTTAAGCAGAAATTCATATCTAAGAGTTTAAATATGATCCATTTCAAAACTAAAAAACAAGATTTCAAATTTCAAAAATTAGATATTATTTAATTTTTATTTATGAAATAATTAATTAAAAATATATTTTATTAATTCAATGTATTAAGGTCGAAATTATATATGTTTTGGTCACAAATTATCGAATTAACTCGTAACAAATTTTTTTTCAGTCTCGAATATAAAATTTTAGAGGTCGCAAATTATTTTATGGTCATAAATCAAAAATTTTATAATTCATAATTTATTCGTCCATCACAAATTAAAAAATATATAGATCAATTTACCTGTTAGTCACAAATCACAAATTTTATAAGTCACAATTCAGATTTTTAGGTGACATATTATTTATTAATCACAAATCACAATATCAAATAATTGGTCACATATTATTTATTGGTAATAAACTTTATTGGCTTGATTCGACAGAGCCTGCTAAATTGATCAATTTATTGGTCACAATAACTAAATAATTGGTCGTGGTCCCTCTTTATACAACTCGAACCCATCAAGGCCTTATCACCACCACCAGAACCACCATCTCACAACCACTAGACCACCAATGCCTATAATAAGAATCAAAACCACCATCTCTACCACACCATCACCAACCAAAAATCCCGAAACCTACCATCATTGTCTCTATCACCGTCGCCACTACCATGATCGCCATCGCCACCAATCCACAATCATAGCCACTGCTACCACAATCTCATAATTACCATCTCCATAACAGCCGCCACCACAATGATCACTTGAACAAAAAATCACAACTACCATCTCCTCTATCTTCATCTCCACTACATCGCAACCACCACACCCACTAAAAATTCTCAAATCGTCGCTGTCGGCACCTGCGAACACCATCTACAAAACCCATCCCAAATCATTGCACAACCATCGCAATCACGGCTTCAGTGATTACAGCCACCATAAAATAAGACAGAATATAATAGAAAGAATGATACGTTGTGCACGATGCTCCAGGAGACGAGCACAGCTACTGCAACAATGCCACACACAGTGGCGCTGTCATCGCCTGTTGTGCGTGACATTGCTGTTGTGGCTTCCGACAACGTTGTTGTTGTGTCTTGTGTGTCATGCAGGAGGTGTAGCATGACGAGCACAGCGTCGAGCGCAGTTGCTGCAACAACACCGCACATGACGGGGCTGTCATCGTCCCTGTGCACGACGTTGTTGCTATGGCTTTTCAACGGCGCTACTACTATGTCTTATCGCCTGCTATGAGCCATCGATGGGTCTCTCAGTGTGGTAGAAGAGAGACAACAGAGATGATAAAGAGAATAGAAATGAAAAATGATTTATGGTTTGGGTTTGGGTTGGATGGGGGTTGGGTAAAGTGGTAATGTAGATTAAATTATTATTAATATTTAAAAATTATATTATTATCTGATTTTTGTATAAATAAACCTAAAATCAGATTTTTGAAATGTAAATCCTAAAAGTAGGCTTCCATGTAATTTTCACTTAATTTTATCAAATTTTTGGATCAAAATCCAATTCATTGATAGTGCTATGTCCTCATTAATTGTATCATTTATATGGCCGAAAAACATTGATCTTCTAATAAATTCGTTCTTTGTAAATGTACTTGTTTTTAAAATTGTACAAGAACAATTTATTAATAGATCTTATAAATCATATCATCGTTCCGTCATTAAATCAACAATTTCAAGTAGTAAATAGAACTTGATTGACATAGTGGACAAAATTTTAACATTTTGTTTGCTTTTTAATGTTGTCCATTATGGCAAATCCGAATTTGATTTGTTGTCCCCCATTTTGTAAAATGAACAGTTAGATTTTTTATTGATAAACAATAATTTTTATCACACATTTGAAATCATTTATTAACCACACATTTTTTGAGACTTAATACTATTCATTCTAAAAAGTTGGTAATCATTTAATCTGATCATTCACATTAATCGCCATTGAGCTCTCTCAGTTATTTCTTTGCTGCGACTGAAGGTAATAAACACAAAACCATCCATTCTGGTTCTATATTTGTTCGAATAAAATGCTTAGCCAATTCCATGCATCTAACTAAAAAATCATTTCTTCTTCCAACCTTTCGATCTTCCCATTCATTTCCTGTGGATCCTTCTTCCCCTAATTCTTTCGTAAATTTAGATCAGCTAATTGTTCTCGAATAGCACCTGCACCAGTAGAAATTTCTCAATTGCGATATTTATCGAAGCCTTGGGTAGTAAAAAACAGCGGGATGCTGTATTTCAGTTCTTTGAGTTGTCATTGAACTTTCCTAAAGGGTTGTTTGCTGCCATTGAACTTAAAAGTTCACAGAGATACCATTTATTTTTTCCCAATATTTCTAGCTGTAATCGAATTTAAAAATTCTCCAAATTGCCATTGTACTTAATAAATGTTATTTCATCTGTCATCGTCACTTGTTGTTTTAAAAGTTAACAAAGTTAATACTTACCAAAATGTTATCAAATCTACCATTTTGTCTATCATGTTATTCAATCGGTTAAATTTTAAAACGATGAGCTATGGAGTAAAGGATGAGGTAAAGTTCAATGAAATTTCGAAGAAATCTCAAAGTTGAATGACAATTAAAAAACATTTTAAAAAGAAGTCCACTACAACTCAAAGGAATTTCAAAATTCAATGATAATTATAAAGCATTTAAAAAGGTGTAGTAACAATTGGGATATTTAACCCGTCAAATCCGACTCAGCAAACAGACCACGGTAGTTGAGTGGCTATTGTATAAAATTTACAAGATTACTGTCACTCTGTCAGCATCTTCAACCCAATCTCTTAGCACCAAATTCTTGGTGCAATCCATGTCCAACCATGGCACCATTTTGGTGTAAAATGGTACAAATTATTAAGTACCTTTTTCTCTTCTTTTCCATTTTGCACCAAATTTTTTTTAAGGGGTATTTGTGTCCATTTTTATTATACGACAAATTTTAATTCTTAATTTAATTGTATTATTATGTTTATAAATAAATAACTTTTGAGATAAATATATCGTTAAGAATGAAAGGAACTTATGAAAATGGTGAAACGCTACTTTATTTAGTGCAATTTTTGGCGCATTGGGTGGGAAATGCTTTTCAATTTGGTGCAAAACTTAACTCAAATATTAATACAGTGTTGGAGATGGCCTAACATGGATGTCTCTCTTCACAATCAAAGGGACCCATAAAGTGATAATTCTTCCCAGATTCTTTCGGTATCTTCATTACTTTTGATCAAATTATTACACTTTTTTCTTGAATCAAAGGTTATTTAACAGAATCCATTCACATCCCATATGTTTATTCTGTAAGATACATAATTTTGATGTACTAACATATAGACAAACTTCTTTTATTATACAATGAAAAGGGCCATCATCTTTCACACAAATGGAACAAGTTACACAATTTCCATGTCTGAAGGGAAACTGAAAAGCTTGATATAACTGGTAGTATATAACCTAATTTACCACTTTCCATTGTTCTTGCCTTTGTTGTGTCCATACAGACGGAACAGACCAAACGCAGAAATAGCAGAGAGGACGACCATAGCAATGCTTACAACTACTGCACCTGCTATGCCCTCCCCGATTTGGTTGCAGAATTTCTCGTACATGTTGCAAATCTTCATCCATTGAAGTTCCGTCTGCCCATATTTGCCAAAAACAGCAGACTGAGCAGCGGCAGCCACTGCAGCCAGAGTTAAGTAGGCCATTATCTGCACAATTGAACCGACTTGAGCACTGTCGAAACTCAAAAGAATGATTAATAGCCAATGCAAGGGAAAACGATTTTGCATGCATTTGTTCAGCTAGAAGAAATTTGAGAGGAATGTAATAGAGATTTGAGAATAATAGGTTTTGTAATAGTGATTTTTGAATAATCTATAGTTAAAAAGTACGAAAAAATTTTAGATTTACATATCTAGAATTATTTTATGGGAGAATGTATGGTTGAAAATGAGTTTTGGGAAAAATGAGTTCAGATAAAAAATGGAACTCAAGAGCATAATAAATTAAAATCTTGTCTATTATAGTAATCATTGTTTTTAAAAGGGTTTCTATTCCATAAGTACTTTTAAAAAAAGTTACATTACTAATTTATTTTAAAAGTTCTTCTAATTAAAAGAAGCACTCCTATAAAATTAGTTAAATGGTTTCAAAAGCAACTTTTGAATCTTAAAAGCTCATTTTGACTTTTCAAAAGCCATGTCCAACAGGCCCATAATAAGTTAGAATCTTCTCACTTGTGTCGATCATTATCCAGTTAAATCTAAAACTCAGTATCGAACACGCCCTTAGAGTAGTTCACACCTGATCACCAGAGAAAATGACCCAAGCTAAGGGCTTGTTGAAGAGCACACTTCCTCTAATCATGCTCAAAACACACCTCAAAACTTGGACAAGTGAATAGGCAGCAGCTAACCCATTGGCTATTACCAAGAAACTGCATAATCAAAGTAATTAATCAAGAACAAGATTAAACTTTCTCTCTCAGAAATTTCAACTATAATTAAAAGAGGAGAAAATCTTACACAAAGGCTTTCATGTCTGTAAATCTAGCCTTCTTCTGAATAGAGAAAATCTCTTTAACCTGAGTGTCTGTCCCTATAAGAACAGCAGAAAGTATAGCTAGACCACATATCAAACACCTTAAAATCAATTCTGCGAGCCTCACTCTCCTGTCAATTGCCTTCAAATTGCTCCCATGATAAACAGGAACAGTTCCAGGACTCACTCCTACACCAAGATAACTACTCATTTTTACTCCTATTTCCAATCTACAATTACTCGGGAAGAAATAAACACAAGAAGTAAAGAGCTGTACGAAATTCACCTAACACACCCTACTGCTTATATAGACACCCAGTAACACTAGTTCATGCATTTTATATTCAAAGATTTAATGCACTTTTTTTGTAGTGCTGCCAAGTGTTTGGCATTGTAATTTATAGTTCACCATGTGTAGGAATGGTTAGAGGCCACAAATTTATCAACATTCATGGGGGCATTAATTGGAGGCTAATCTTGCATTGAATGCAAGACGACCTGACATCTGAGATTGCATTAAAGAACAAAGGCCTAAAAGATTTCTGGGAATGGGCGATGGTTTCTTGTTTCAAGAAAGGAGAGAGATTAGGGTAGAGACTGCCTTTAATTCTCTCATTTAAGGAGAATTATTGTAACCCATTCCTTTTTATGTGGGAGAAAAAGACGAGAGACAGACAGAGATTAGTGTTGTCAATTATCAAGATTCAAGAGTGAATACATGTTGCGCAATTGAATGGAAATTGGAAGGTGAAAAGAGAGTTGCAAAATTTGAATCTTTTACCAAAACTTAAATTATAATTTAAAAAAGTGAATACTTTTATTTACATATTTCATTATAATTTAAGAAAGACAAATATACTTTTTATTTATATATTTGGGTAATTGGCGCAAAACATCCCTGCCTATCAAGTTGATTGTGGAAAACGTCCCTCCCTTTCATTTTTTGGCATTTTTGCTCCTATTTTCACATTTCTTTGCGCTGAACATCCTTTTTACCAATTTTTGACGTAAAATGACCAAAATACCCTCTTATTTAAACAAAAGAAAAGAAAATTGCAACTATGGGCCCAAACTTTTAAAAAGTGCAAATCGGTTCAAAAGTCTTATTAAAATTTTAAACATTAAAAATGAAAAAATGACCAAAAAAAAAAAACAAATTCTCTCTCTCTTCTCCCCTCCTCCCCTCCTCCGACGGTCCACACTTCTCCCTCCGGCTCCTCCACTAAATTGAATCAATACCTAGTAATGTATTAATCCAAATTTAAGGCAATTTTCTATTTTCTTTCTCACCATATATCATACAATTAGTGGGGCAGTCATTGTAATAACCCAAACCAGGAAACAAACCAGTTAATCAAAGTTACCACACTTCCAGCTAGGCCTTTGATTCCGACATGAAGAATCTGCCATACACGATATCAGGAAACATGGTCACATAAAGACACTATTTTCTCAGCATTTGACCGCATAATTTGATATATTCAAGCTTCAATGAAACTCACTTTCATTAACTGATATTTTGTTCAAAGATTTGATTAATGGACCCACATAAAACAACAGAAAAACAGAGTTTGAAAACCTTTTGTTTAGCAATAATTTATTCAAGCATTTTTTAAGTAGAGCAGCAGAAATCAAAGACAAGTGCCAAAGTCAATAAACAACACGAAACAAATTAGGACAAGAGCATCCACAGGTTCCTGAATGCTGAGAAAGAAAATAGAAACTTGTCTTAACTTTGGATTAAAACTTTACTGGGTATTGATTCAATTCAGTGGAGAAGCGGGAGGGAGGAGTGTGAACAGTCGGATGAGGAGGGGAGAAGAGAGAGAGAGAGAATTTGTTTTTTTTTCTTTTTTCTTTTTTTTTTTATTTTTAATGTCTTAACAAGGCTTTTGAATCGATTTGCACTTTTTAAAAGTTTGGGCCCATGGTTGCAATTTCTTCTTTTTTGTTTTGTTTTGTTTAAATATGAGGGTATTTTGGTCATTTTACGTCAAAATTGGTAAAAAGAATGTTCAGGGCAAAGAAAGGTGGAAATAGGAGCAAAAATGCAAAAAAAATGAAAGGTAGGAACATTTTCCACAGTCAACTCAATAGGTAAGGACGTTTTGCGCCAATTACCCTTATATATTTCATAGAACTAATAATTACTGCTCGATTGTTGTTTACTTATTGCATAGGATCCGCAATTTACAAACGCCTATATTTTAATTTGAGCACCCCCAAGCAAGCTGGTGGCCATATTAACGAGGCAGTTATTTGGTTGAACTACTCTTTAATTATGCTAGAATAATTTTTTATTTCTTTTTTTTTCGCACTTATATTTTCACTTTTTTTGGTTGCATTCTTACATTAACTAGCACACTGACCCCGCCAATGATTTTCTATTGAAACATTTTATTAGCTGACTTCGAAATGATGGATAATTGAATAATGTTATGGTCACACTTTTGTATTTGTTAGTTTGCTAATTTACAGATATAATGGGCATATAAGTCTTTTATGTCATCCTACCAATCTTTTTAAACAAAAATCATCATCAGGCACAATCTATGCTAATTAATAAAAGATTAATAATAAGAATGAGAAGAAAGAAATTGAGAGATAACTACGAAAATAAGCAAATGTTTATAGTTATTGGTGCAACTAAGAGAATTGAAGCGTCAATAATAAACATCCTTAAATTTATAGCTAAATTTCTTTAAATTTAAAATGCTTTTGCCGTATGAAGGTAGCTAATGTCCTGACTTTCACATTTGGTCATCACAAAAAAATTGAAGATAAAATTTAGATGAAATATTCCATTATTTCCCTAATAACTAGCTTTTAAATAACTTAATTCAATACAAAGAATAGATAGTAATTTAGTGTTAAAAAATATGTAGTTATTTAGTAGACCAGAAGTTTCGTAGCTAGCTTTTAGCTCCTTATGGAAGAGTCAACTCCACGATATAAGGTTTTCTTTAAGTATACAAGACTTTGGTTCAATATAAAAGATTTATCAAGAAGAGAGATAGATATAGACAGAGACGAGATCGAACGAAAAAAAAACTCTTTTTCATTAAGAGAAAAAGGTAAGAAGTTTTCAGAGAATTCATTAGAGGAATGTATCCAATAATAATGATTTTTAGTTAAATCAATACAAAATATTGATAAGTAATCGTTAGGAGACCACAAGCTTATACTTGATCAATTTGTAGGATGATATTGTTGTCACTCGAAAGGTGCCATATTTGGACAGAGGTAATGGATTTTTTTCTTCTTTTTTATTTTGTTAGACTATTTTCTATTCTTTTACTTTTTATTTGTTTTCATATAAATACATATAATTTGATAAGCCATTCTTAACTTTCTACGTCTTAAACTCGTTTTCCGCATTCTATATTTACGAATTTTGTTTATATAACAAAATATAAACCTCAAATATAAGCTTCTTCTAATATTCAGTATTCTGGATGTTTTCGTTTTTGCCCAACATCGACAATATATTACGTTGTATTCTTGAGGTGAACTTGTTTTTCCATTTACATCACGAGTTTAGTAGAAACAAATAACGTCTCAAAAAAACAACAGTTTAACATACCTAAGAGTCAAATTCATCATTTCAAATTTAAATTCCTAAAACAAACTTCAACTCTTCCAGAAATATTTCTTCAACATGATTAAATCTAATAGCAAGTACCATTTAAAAAAAAAATATATATATATATATATATAAA